GTAAACGAAAAAGTCTGATTTTTTCATACTACGTGACATTTTTCGTCACATGTATTGTCATGACACATTACTAGATTTCAATTTAGGACGATTGATAGGACTTGAAGATAAATTAAAATTGGGTATTTTAATTTATCGATTTTGATTATATTCAAAATAATAATTTACGTCGTTCGACATCGTGATCGAAAACCTAATGGGTCACACATAAAATGAGAACTAGAAGAATGAGATTCACCAATTAATTAATTAACAAGTGTTGAACAATTAATTAATTGTGTTGTTTGTTAATATGCCCGAATTAATTAATTGGATTAATTAAATATTGGATCAGATTAAGTTTATGAGGCAGACCAGCCTACTTGAACTTATAGTAATAAACTATTAAGGTTTCAGAAAAATGGAATAAAATTCATTATCTTACCAGCACAAGAAAAGAGAAATCATAATTATCTTATTCTTGTATCCTATGTGGATTTCCATTAAAAACTGTATAATTGGACATTTGGGATTGTAGATCGTAATTGTTCGTATTCCAAAATTAGTAAAAGAGTTTACAGAATCTACAAAACGTATAATTCCTATCACACTTTCTTTTTAAACACAATGAAGATTCTTGGTGAGAATTGAAATTATTTTATTTTCCACTGAGCACGATTAAAGTAAAATTTCAACACATAAATCATTGAAGAGTTCATCACATGATTTGTATTTGTGATTGTGACTGTGATTGGGTTTGTTGCACCAGATATGGCGGATAATTGTGCACCCTTTATGTTTTTATTATGAGGATTTTGTCATTTGTGCACTCTTTATTGTGGATAGAAAGAACCATTTAAAAGACAACTCCATTTAAAAGACAACTATAAGGCTAGGTTTGGTTTTTTGTTACTGAAAGTTGTCTTCTAAAATTAAGAAGGAAGAGGAAGATCAAATTTTGATGTGCATGTCATTTGGGGATTTGATTCAAGATTGCCTAAAAACTCGTAGGGATTTATTCATTCACCCATGGCTTCAAGTTGTATTTATAATTTCAATTGTTACAATTTAGTATTTTATATTGCTGTGTGAATCGATAATTTTATATTGATTTTCATTGTATTTATAGTTTCTTTACAGTCTTATAGAGAGAGACCTTCCGTCTTTACAATATTTGCTCTCATTTGATGAGAGAAATTTTATCCTTAATGCTAAGAATTACATCCATACTCTCCTTCTTCATTACGAATATAGGGCAAATCTTTATGTACATTGCATTTAGGGGCAAAGGAAGTCATAAGACCATATTCGTCACACCATCGATTGAAAAAAAAAATGTTACTCCCCTCAAGGTCACTGAGGTGAGTACCCGACTGTAAACTTTAGGATACCGTTGAGTTAGTCGAGGTGCTCGCAAGCTGGTCCGGACATCCACGATTATCAAAAAAAAAAA